GAATTTATGAAAACATTYGCTATCAGCATTCATGTAGTTTATGCTAACATAACGGAATGGTCGATAATTAAAAGACTGCAGTAAGTGAGAGACACCCTAAATATATTTTAAAYCCATTTATATGAAAGTAGGCACAAACATTATTCCAAATGTGAAGACCGTGTCAGATAGCTCAGATGCACAACAGCTTGGACTAATATAGTCATGTGAGTTTGAGCCTCAGTGACTGAGAGCCAGTGGATTCCACGAGGCTTTAAAGACCATAAACCAGCTGTACTTTCATAACTTTGCACTATTAGAAATGCATTCAATTCTCAGCCGCAGCTCAGAACGATAAATCTGACAGTGAAACACCAAACATGTTTTAACAGGAACGTTACCACAAATTGGACTCGGTTTCCTGCAGCTCTCCATCAGAACAGCACCTTTACAGAGAGTCTTATCGGTATCAACAATTAAAACTACTCTTTTTTCTGATTTAAAGGCACACAATCTTGAAAAGACGTAAGGCTGCGAAATAAATCCAGTCGCTTTAAAAACTTTCATTTTTAACAGTGTGAAAAACAGCTTAAAATAAACGGATAAATAAAATCAGCTCTTCTTCTTCCGTCACTCAAACCCAAGCTGTTCTCCGCAGTTATGAYGGTAACGCAAACGTTTAGTTTCCCTGGAGATGCCTGCAAGTACGAGCTTTACTAACCGACAACAAGTTTGATTAATGGCACAGCCCAGAGGGCCCTGAAACAATGCCAAGGAGAAATGATCTTGTCACCTCAGAGATATGAAAACGGCGTGGCCACGTGGTGTTAAAACAGGAAGCGACGGCGGCGCTGCGACGTTTAAAGAGACATTTATTGGAACTAATTGACGAAGAATGAACCTGTTGCAGCAGCAGCAGMAGCACGCGGAGGAATGTTTTTCTCCTCTGCGACGAGGAATTGTATGTCAGGAAATGAAAGGAAGGTGACGTCGGTTTAGATCTAAATTAAAAACATCCAGCTTAAACTAGAAGCAGCAAGTGGTTCGCTAAAGTTGCATTTTCCTTTTAGTTTAATTAAGTCAATTTTAAGAGGATTTTCAGGAGCGGCAGAAAAAGGTGTTAATATTTTTGTGTTACACTTCAAAGTTGCTTGTTTATGTTACCTAAAATAAATAATGCACATTTACAACCTGCCAAATCCTAATTTTGCTTTAGTTGTTAGTCGACTTTAATATACACTGCTCAAAAAAATAAAGGGAACACTTAAACAACGCACGCTAACTCCCGATCTTAATCAATGAAATATTCGCATTGAGTACTTTGTTCTGTACAGAGTTGAATGTGCTTCACAAAAGTTTGATTTACTTGGACTTAGCGTGCGTTGTTTAAGTGTTCCCTTTATTTTTTTGAGCAGTGTASTTTGAAGAAAACTAGATTTATCTTAAGTTCTGTCTGAATTTTATGTAGCAAAAAAAAAAAAAACATTTAAATCACTATTTGCCTATTTAAAAAGGGGATATTGTGAAGTTCACAAATCCTGCACAAAACATGCAAATGATGCATTCACTCACTCGAGAGCTCATTGTGGATAAGCTCCGCGAAGCTGGGGTCATCCCCCCACCAGAAAAGCCACAGCTCCCTGCGACCCCGGGTCTGGTGCCTTCTCCACACGCTCAGCACATCTGCCGCCAGGCACCGGCTGAAGCTACACAGGATGGGGTCCTCCTCAGTCACCGGGAACAGGATGGGCGAAGAGGTGGGTCCTTGCCACACAAAACGCCGCCATTTTATTCCAGTCAGATCAGCCTAGAAGAAGAACAACAACAATTAGGAAATTGAACGCACAAGGCAATCAGCAGATGCCGACTCATGTATTCATCAATAATAATGCTCTTCGTGTCTTACAGAAAATCACTGTAATTAATAAAAATAACAGATGAAGAGGAGGCAGGTTGTGTTACTCTTTATACCAGGGTTCCCACACAGCTTTCTTTTTTATTTGCACTTTTATAATATTTGTGACTCATCTTTCCAGATTCACACAGAAATAAACAGGTTATAGATAATAACTCTGTAAAAAAATAAAATAAAAATAAAGGGCCACCTATTTTCCAAATGATTTCACGGTCATAATCAAGTTCAAGTTCTGTMAGTAGAACATGAGTCTAATCTGATCCGAACACTATAGAGAAAGCTGTGTATGCTTTGGGGCTACGCCAACTCCTGACTGTGGAGTTGTATATGCAACATGTTATAGAAATTCCCTGATTGTATTTAATTAACACACTTTTTTCTTTTTAAAAGCTTAACAAGTTTCACTAAGCGCTGCACAACGTGGCCATGCAAGGCGCTAGAACTGGAAGTAACCTGAGCTTCGTCCAAGAACATGTCAACATGTGAAAGAAGAGGCAGCACGTCTGAACTGCTAAACTTGTCATTAATGATCCATCACTCAGGTGATGGATCATGTTGTTTAAGATTTGTAGATTTTTTTTTAAATTAGTTTTTCCTCAATTCTTGAAACTGTTCAAGCATCAAGTCTCCACAGGAACCCTGGCATACATCTGTCACCACAAACTCACCTTAAAACATACCTTTAAAAGGAGTATTTTCACTTAAAAAAAGATCTGAGTTTAAAAGTTGTTTAATTGAAGGAATTCAAGACAGCAGCTGGTTATACTTCCTATTTTTACGTTTGTAGATAACAGAGTCAACTAAATTTGAGAAGAAAAACAAAGTGTGCCTGTTAGCTAACACTGAATATTCCTTCAACAGCAGCAGTGTAAACACTGGATTTTGCCATACCCACTAACATTTTTAAGTTGTTATGCATCATGTGTTTTCTGTKTTATGAGAGTTGTTTGGATGGCAATTTAAAACTGAGTTCCAGCACAAAAACAGACTTTCCTACAGTTAAATATCTCCCCTTTTGCAGCTGGGATGCAACACATTTATTTTACTTTTAAGCATTTATTGTAAATATTTGTAACATGGTATACGATCCAGTTGTTAAAATGTATCCTTCAATTTGACTATTTGTGTCTTTATTTTGCCAAATAATGTGAAAATTGTACTTCCAGGTTCTGCAGTTGTAAACTACAATCAAACTAACTGTGGTCTAAGAATACATACTAATACCACAGTATTTATTGTATTTTTGATTTACCATTTTGTAATGTTTTTAATAAACAGACTAAAAAGGTGGTTATTTCCACAGTTTAAGTAAAATTACTGTGAAAATAAATGCTTGTTTGAGCTATTTACTTCTAGAAATTTAGACTTAATATTCTGTACAAGTCAGGTAACACAAATGCTATAAACCACTAAGAACTAATTCCACGCTTTAATATTGCATAAAAACCTGAGCTTCACATTTTCTTTATCAAATCCGAACAGAACCACCTTATTTTAGAAAAGAACAGGGTGTGTTTTAAACAATTAGCCTATTATAAACACGCAGCTAACACTGAACTATAACAATTTGCAGAGTGTAGCAACAAAATCACGCCATCGTCATAAAATAAATGTCCTGTTTTAAAGTTGCCACGCTGCATTGGTGTTTTTCTCTGTTACGAAAGTTGGCTAAATGACAATTTAAGAGTTGCAGGCCCGATGCCTACACGCCAGTCTGCAACTGACGTTACAAAGCTTGTTGCCTTATGAGCCAAAATGGCTTTCTGGCCTCTCAGTACCACGGCTAATGCTAGCTAGTCTTACCAGGCAGAAGATGTTGGAGTGGCAATCCTCCAAACTGGCCCCGTTTGGTACAAAGCACGAACTCATCCTTTCACAGCTCGTTGGTAACGTTAAAGTCCATCGTCTCAATCGCCTTTGAGGCTATAACTGATAGGTGTAACTTGCCAGCGAAGCGACGTTCACTTGTAATTAAGTCAGCCAACTTCTAGCCGGCGCTAGCCACCGATAGCCTGGTGGCTAAGCTAACGTTAGACAGGCAGGCAGAGAGCGTCAACTGTAGGCTTCCAGCTATTCGATTCATCAATCCTATTTGAAAATGTATTGTCTGATCTGGTTAGCCGCAAGGCTGCGGCCACATCACCTAAAGATCAAACTGTCAAAAATACCATAACCCGAAAAGAGTACGGAGTTCAATCCAACGCCGGAGGTGAGAAAAACGAGCTCGGAAACTAAAAAAACTTCATCACAAAAGCTTAGTCCCTGGTGTGCTAATGCTAATGTCAGCTAGCTGATCTGAAACAATTTCAAAGCAGAGGAACTCTCCCCTCCCCCTGAGCTCAGCTAGCCTGCCAGCTAAATAAAACAATCAGCTACACCGCCCTCCTTTCCCAATAAAACCCCCGCAGTGCTTCGTCATAATACAAGTGTTCTTAAAACGGAATAAAACGTCAAATCTCCGAGGCTACTTATCGGCTACTCTGTCTGGATCCATGGCTTCTGCAGATTTCCATTATTTCACTACATGGATTGAATTCTTTAATGGCGGCCAGGAGGACAACTCTGCCTCTCAGCTCCCATTGGCCAATTTGTGTTGATGGAGGCGTTATCCGGCTTCAAGAAGCTCCATGACTTCACAGTTTACAAGATGAGAGCTTTAGTGCATCTGTCACACGGTGGTCACTCCTTACATTAACATGTCTCACTGCGCGACCTCTGCCGCTGTCAGTGTGCAAAAATAATCCGAGTTGGCGGAAATGCAGCTGTTTGMGCGAACTGTGGGTTTCAATAAACGTAAACATTACTATTTTGTTGCGTAATTGTGCAAAAGTGAAGAGATCGTGGACAATGTGCAGACACTCTGAACGGCACGCTCGGTTTCATTGCACATGTGTACCCTCAGCTTTCGCTAATTCTAATTTAAATTAAGCGGAGTCGATTGCACATTATGTTCTTTAGCTCTTTTTTTTTTTTTTTTTTGTCAACTTGATGCTTTCGCTTCAGCGTCCAGGGGCGGGGCCAATAATCGCAAGCGCTTTATCCCATTTCCGAAGCCCCACCCTTGCATGGGCGGAGCTTCAGACGCGTTCCAGAAAATGTCAACAACATGCCGGAGTCTTCTAGAGAAATAGAAACCGAGCAGGAGGCAGTAGTTAGGGATAAACAGMATATAAAGCAGGAAAAGCAAGCGTCTCGTAACGTTGTGACTGTTTTATCTAAGTTCGCTGACGATAATTTGTCCCTCGTGCGGGTAGGAGTCTTCTTTGTTTGAAAGCAATACTGTAGCTGTATAAACCCGCACCTCATTCTTACACATGGTGGAAGTGGAGGAAAATGAAATGAAGGGTGAAAGGAAAGCCTCTTGGCTGTTCGTCTGCAGCACATGGTGTYTAATGGTTCACAATCCTGCACAGATATCTCATAACCAGTTAGCAGCCWGTAGGGCTCTTGTGTTACTGTCATTATAGGAAGAACAGCTGGGTGTAAGATTTCACTCTCATCCTGTCATCTACCTTTCTCCTCTTTCATACAGAACATTAGCACTGGACTGGCTGTTGCTGGTGTGATTGTGATCGCAAGGAGCATCAGATTGGTAAGAATGATCACAAATAACCCTCACTTTCACATAAGGATGGTAACACTTAGCTATGTGTTGTGGGTGACTGTCAGCTTCAACCACATTATTTCTGAACCAAAATGGGTCATAATGAAATTGTTTTTAAGTTACTAATGTTTTTGAATACTTTATCTCAAATGCTTCAAAAATGATTTGTACTTTGTTGAAATATAGATTAATCACCTGGAGTGTGCCTGTATGAAAACTTCATTTATATTAGTCCAAAATGATGTCGTTATATTTAAAAAAGAGGAACATGACGTTTCATAATGATGACTTAAGGGATTTCCCAGCACTTTTACAAAGAATAAATGGTTAGTTTTAAAGGAAGTTATAAGTGTTACAAAACAAAAGATTATTTCTAAAAACGCACCGGTTGGAAAACTTTGATTTAAACAATTAAATGCTACTTCCACACCAAATTTTACCTTATTGTCGGTAAGACTGGATGATGCATCAATATGATTTTTTTTAAGGTCAGTTGGCTGTGGTGGCCATCTTGAATTGGACTGACTAAAAGTTACTCAATTGTAGATAATTCAGTTAGCAACAATATATTTAGCAAATGGTACAGACAAATAATCGAACACACATATACACACAGACATGAGTAAAAGCACTGTTGTTCCATCTAGACCAGTGTTTCCCAAAGTTGGGGTCGGGACCCAAAGTGGGATCCCGAAACATCAAGGTGGGGTCCTGAAAAGGTTTTCAGAATTAATTACATTTTTGCCTTAGTTGTTACAAAGGAGTGAGGTTAGTGTATTTACAATGGATTCATGTAGTATAAAAATATTGTTACTATGCCCATGTTTAGTTAACCTGATACAAATGTTTATCGTCCAAAAATAGTTGGGGGAACAGGTCTCTGCTACTGTTATTTTGTGGTTCAAAAAGCTGAAAAGTTTGGGAACCATTGAACTTTGGTTCCCAAAGTTGGGCTTGGGACCCAATTATGGGTCATGAAGCACCTTGGATAATCTCCAGAAATCAATTTAAAGGGTAATAAAATAATTGGTAATGTAATATTTTCCCTATAACTATTACAAAAACACACAAAAAATTATAAATAAGTATTTGTATTTGTGTACAAACTGTTTAGGTTGTCAAAAAGCCTGTGTTTTTAGGGTTATTAACAAAGTTCGTCTACTCAGACCAGTAATATTTGGGGTCACAAGTTTTTGCCATGGATATTTTTTGGGTCATAAGATGAAAAGTTTGGGAACTACTGATCTAGACCACACTTAAGGCCCGCAGGTGACTCCCGTCTGGCCCGCCAGGAGATGTACCCCCCCACCCCCACACCAAAAAAAAAAATACATTAAAAAACATATATACACACTTCATTTTTACTCAGTATGAAACTTGTGTCTTATTTCAATTGTAAACTTTAAATTTATGATTAATTCAACAAAATAAATCTAAAAGGTAAAAGATAACATTTGTCCAGCCCCTGAGCTGTTGGCTTTAAGTAAATGAGCAATTTAGTTGRATAGARCAGTATTAATGTCTGAAATAAGCTTCTTTAAATTCAGCATCAACCWTTAASTAAATCTGCTATAATGCATGTTGATCATCCATGGGAATTCCCTGTCAGAAAGTGGGAGAGTTCAGAATTTAAGATGGCAGCTATTCACTAGAAACTCATCAGTAATTAAAACTTTATTAGTTTTACTTTTAATAATATTTCTGTATTATTTATTTCAGATTTAGTCAGTGGCACACTTAGTTCTCATCAGTGTTTAAAAGAGGACTTGTTAAGACTCTGTTGAGTCAAAGTTAAACATGAAATGTCAAAGTTCATTACAACTGGCCCTTAAGGGCCACCATAACACTCATGTGGCCCTCTGTGAAAATGAGTTTGACACCCCTGATCTAAACCATTGGCGACAAGCTATTAGAAAAATTGAAAGCAACCACTAACTTTGAAAAACGATGATCCAAATCTTACAGTACATTATAAAGTAAAAGTAAACAATTCATTTTCACATATTTGATCGAGATAAATATTTTTGTTCCTCCAGATCACAAAATTCCACTCTGTGCATGAGATTCCGTCTCGTTTCATTGAGAGGAACGTCAGCCTTCGTGGGAAAGTTCATTCCATCACAGAGGAGGCAATTCAAGTGGAGCATGTTCCAATTTATCTGCCTGTTTTCTCTCCATTACTGTCAAAGCACAAAGGTAATATGTGTGTGTGTTTAGGAGCTCTATAGGTAACAACATGACGGCATCCTTCACAGAATGTTTGACATTTTTGTAACATTATCACAGCAGTGGATTTTCTGGAATTTGACTGAGAACTCGTGTAAGACATGAAACAAGCACAAAGAAAGTTAACAAGTGTACACCAAGAGAAATTTAATATATTTACACAAACTCAAATATCTATACCAAGACTATAATTTGCAGGAGTTTACAGATTATGTGGGTATTAACATAATATGGACATCTATACAGCAGTGCAAATAAACATATTATTTGTGAAATTTCTGAAGTTCATTTCAGGTTTGGATTAAATTTTAACTAGAATGTGAGGTGTCTGCTGTGGTTGAGGAGTGCTACAGCTCTGGAGAAGAACCTGTTATCGTGCCCTGTTGTACTGTTTTTTTATGGTCCCATCTTACTGTATAGTTTCCTAATTTCACAATTTGTGTAACTTTGTTCTGTTTATTTCAATTTTATGAATTGATTAGAAACATGTTGAACTAAATCCTGAGGGTAATAGCTTCACAGTTGAGGCATACTTTTTAAGACTATCAATGTCAATGCCAATTTTATCAATAAAGCACTTTTAAAAACAGCTAAAAGCTGCACTAACGTGCTGTACAGCAATCCACAAATATAAAAAAAACACAATAATTGCTAAAAATACATAATAAATTACAACCAACAATAGTAAGAACAGATAAATTACAATGCCAGGCCTTACTTTAATTAAATTACATTTAATAAAAGTGAGTCTTAAGAAGCACTTTGAAGTTTTCCAAGCTGTGAGCAGATCTAATGTGAAAAGGCAAGTTAGATTATCAAGAGATAATCAAATTATTAAATAATTTAATTCAAATTTTAATAGCCAGGTTTCAAAAGGTAATGTAAGTTCTTTCCACTTAATTTTGATAATTTGATATATATTTTATTTATCTTAACGATTTAGTCATAAAAATGACAACTTTAAGCTTTAATTTATAAACACCATAAATAAGTTTTGTTCTGCAGTTGGAGGAAAAATGTCACAGATCAGCTCAAAGTGACGACTTACTGTAAAAATAAATGCACTTTTTATGTGTTCTTTTTCAGATGGGTGCACATCTTTGTTGCTGGTGCGTCTCGCAGGAGTCGAGCTGACATCAGAGGGGAAGTTATGGCTGCAGAAGAACCTGACACCGGCCCAGACCGTGTGGCTGAAACTTATCAGCCGAGAGGACGACGCACTGAACTGTTTGGTGTCCCAGAGTAAGGTGAGGACCTCTAACTACCACGAGTAATGGTCCCTCTCTGCTCAAATGTAACAAAAAATAGTTTTTCATCTCCCARTCTGCTCTCATGTCTCCAGCAGAGGTCAGTATGGTCCTTATCCACCAATGAAGAGCTCCTCAGACTGGGCCTGGCACGCACTGYGCCCGTCGCAGGAGTCTCGCCTGCCTCCCGTCTCTACTGGCGCCTTCACAGACGACTCCACAGGGCAGAGGTGAAAGCAGAGAAGAAAGGTCGAGGTCTGTGGAAGAAGGAGAGTCTGTGGGAGAGGACGTCCAAGGCTCTTAGAGACAACTCTTTTATCAGACTGATGAGGAGGATCTTCAGACGGACTGAGTGACTCATTAATCCAAGTCGGACTGTTTACTGTTGGGAGCTCAGACAGTCCTCATGTAAGGACGTTGATTTGAGTCTGTTCATGTTACAATGACTCTGACAGAACTGAAGTAAGCTTAGAAGTTACAAAAGTATAAAAATAAAAAAAAACATCACTTTGCACTGTGTTAACTGTTCTGCTTGGGCTATGAACACAGTTTAATGTCCCCATCCTGCAGGAAGTGAGTTAATTTTTCCATTAAATTTCCATTACACCTGTTTTCAAAAGTTTATTTGTTTTCTATTTACAAGCCTTATGGAAAACCTAAAATGATTACAAGTGTTAAAAAGTCTGATTTGGAGCCTATATAAAGCCTCCTGACATAGGACTTTGAAGACAACCGGACATCCTACTAACTACAAGACTAACGAGGGATCTGATCAAAATGGAGAGAATGGGAGGTGTCCGCTGTTGCTCTGGAAACACCAAATGTGAAACACAAAGGGATCTAAAGGCTAAATACTTATTGGTTCCTCTCACCCCATGAGAGTCTTAAATGCGCTGGGTGGTGGTGGTGGGGGGGGTCTTTAAGTACTCTTAAGAGCAGGTCCTTTGAGGTATTATGTGACCCGGGCTTTAGAGTATTTAAGCAATAAAACAGAAAGTGGAACCAACCTCAGTAAAGACAACACTATATTTTCACAATAGCTTTCAATAAAAACTAGATACATTTGCATTCCCTGTGTGTAAAAGCTATGTAAATGTTTACTGCTTAATAAGGTTGCAGAAATACTCGTCATCGCTAGTTGAGTTTGAGCAGCTGAAAACATGCAGAAGTTGAACATTAACTGAATATTCAATGTTTAACATTTTTGAAKAAAAGGAACAAGTGTCAGAAGAAAYTGWAGCCTAGAAGACATAAAAAATCATAATAGTATGCATAACACACCAAAGGACAACATAAAAAGACTAAAATTAAATACAGATGCACGAGGAGCCTTTAAAAGACAAGAGAAAGACAGAGCACCGAAGACTTTCTGCTTCTGTAGAAATCTGTTTTATCTCCAAATCCACTGACTCACGAACCTTTCTGTGTTTCACATGGTTGTGATGGAGCTCTTGCTTCAAATTGACTCTGAAAGTTGTTTATGTACATTCAAAGGTTACGTTTTAAAAATTACATTCAAATCTGTCCAGTAAGTGATAAAATATTTTACTAACAGACAAAATGTGCTGACGTCAGCTGTTATTGCCAAGGTATTAGAAAATGGTCTCACATGGGATTGTGCTCAGCTACACCAAATTTGGGCATATTTCCAGTTTTGTAGCTTTGGTGGCCATCTTGAATTTTGATCTGGCATCATGTGTTTGTAATTAGCAACAGCCGCACCAAATTTGAGTTTAAAATGTCTAAAACAACTGATTCGTAGCCATTTTTTGGTGTAACTATGGTGGCCATCTCGAAATTTTTGATTTGCGGTCAGCACATGTTGATTTATTCTCAGCTACTACCACCTCAACTTTGAGCTTATTGTATCCAAAAAAATGACTGAGATGCTGCCATTTTTGTGTTAGCTCTGAATGCCRAATCAGCATTTACACCAACAAAAGAAGAAATATTTTTAGCTGCTCTTTTATTCTAGACACCTGCTTCRAAGTCCRTCGTTTTACAGTTTTATTTTCTTGKTGAAGTGAAAAGGCTCCATGCCAAACATGAGGTTGTTTTTCTGCCTCTTTCTGCTGGTTGTTATCAGGGCTGAGAAGAAGAAGAAGGAGGGTCAGAGATGTGCCCTGTGGGGTGCAGGGCGTCTCGGTGTAGTGAGAGCTGAAGCAGACAGTCGATCCATTGGGCACAAGGAGATTAGTGCAGAGGGGAGGAGGGTCACGGGCGTAGCAGGGGATTTTTGGGTCCCCGAACACAAAGGCGGGAGAGAGGAGGAGTCACCGAGGACAAGGGGGGAGAGTGAGGGCGAGGAGGGGAGGAAAAGTGGGAGGTGGGGGAGTTGATGAATCAGCTTGTCTTCTCTTTTGTTGTGCAAATGTCACCAGCCGACTGTTGCTGCCAGAGAGGCCGCTGATTGGTGGGCTGGTTTAAATTGTAAGGTGCATTTGAGGCTGATGGCTGTTGGTGCTGGACTTTGAACTGTCACTGAAGGAGGAGTGGGAGGGAAACCACGGCTGAGACAAACCAGAGGGAAGTGGAGGAAAACTTCTGAAGACAGCACAGACTTCTGGCAGGAATATCACAATATTCCTGCTGGAATAACAATGTAATGCTAAATTAACTGGRAACTAAAGAGTTATAAAGTATTTGCATGAAGAGCCGTGACACTTTTCATATTTCATGTTGTCCACCGTTGTCCCTGACCCACTCTGACTAGCTTGTTTATATTGAATCCATATTTAAATAAATATTTCCGAACCATACATGTCACGTTGTGCAGATTGTTTGTAATTTAAACAGATTTTTCCTCGTGTGAATAATACAGATTTTTTTTTGCAAAAATTACAGATTTTTGTGGCTCATTATAATGTAATGATCCGTAATGATCCGAAGAGGTTGACATAAATGCCAAAATGAAGTCATTCAAAACGCTATCTACAGCAGGTTAGATATTGTCTGTTTATAATCTTTTCACAGAATCTCAAAAAGATCTGAACTATCCGCTTAATACTGTTTAATGATTTATTTACTGGAAAAGCATGTTGGAGCATCATGAACCATCATGGATTTAAAAACTACCAGACCCTGAAAAGTGTTAGAAATAAATCTGTGATGCTGTTTGTATAATTTTAAAAATAAAAAAGTATTTTATGTTATCTATCTATCTATCTATCTATCTATCTATCTATCTATCTATCTATCTA